ATATTTGCAATACCAACATCTTTACTATCTTACAATTTGGGTGTTATTTTCAGCATGAAAAATTGACTGTTAAACGACAACAGTGCTAGAAACAGCACTTACGCCAATTTCAAACCATCTGTTGGTGAGTAAACTGCATGCCAGCACGCGCTGCAGGACACAAGCTGAGATGGACTAGGACACTATTTGCTCTCCAGGCATAGACTTACATTCATTTGTCACATATTTTTCCCAAGGCCCAGGGAAGATCTAAAAGTGGGTCTTTAGAAAGTTAAGATTTTAGTAAGAGTTTTTTCCAACTCCTATGCTTTTAGTCCACAACCACACAATCCCTTTCTTCAACTCACGCCATCTTCTCCCCATCACCTTAAAGCTGCATGGGAGACTCTGAGAGAGAGCGAACCCCTACCCAAACTCACGGATCACCCACCTGGGCTCTGCTCAAGGCCGCGGACTAACACTCAGGAATCGAGACAGGGCAGGGCGGCCCGTCTTAGCGGCGCACACACAAAGTAACTCTCCTTTAAATTAGAAAAGAAATCAATGTCACAGAATGTTTCGCTATAAAAGGTATGCAATAAAGTAATAATATCAATAAAATAGCTATTACTAAAGCAAAGCTTTCATCACTAAGCTTCGAGAACTCTGAAGGAGGAAAATGGCTTCACGAAATGGTAGTCAGGCTCCCCGCAGTGTGGACGCTGCCGGACGTCGCTATACTCGGAGAGCGCCGCACCCGGATTCCACGTCGCTCCCGGGCTCCCCGCGGTGTGGACGCTGCCGGACGTCGCTATACTCGGAGAGCGCCGCACCCCGATCCCACGTCGATCCCGGGCTCCCCGCGGTGCTCTCAGCTCAGGCGGGCCTGACAGCACGGAGACGCAGCAGGATGCCACAGGTGCGCGTGGTGCCCAGCTGGTGCCAGCTACCGTCCCATCGCGACTCAACTTGATGAGATGACCTTGCGAACCCTCCGGGCAGCCCACGCACGCCGCACGCAGGTGCACGAGTCTCCCTGGGATGACGAGGAACATGGTACTCGGTCTCAGAGTCCGTCCCCAGCGGGAGCTGCGCGGGCGCGGCCGGGCGGTGCCCGGGCCCAGCTCACCACGTCTCTGCGGCTGGCGCTGAGGCTGCGAGGGTGAACTTCCGCACATCCTCCCCCGCCCACGTGGGCGGCGTCTCCCATCCGCGCGTGGGAAGTGTTCAGCCTATGCCTGGGGACGCGGGCGAGGAGCTCGGAGAGGCCCAGGCGCAGGAACTGCACGGGCGTCAGCGTGCCCGCGAACGGGCGCCCCGCGGGGCTGGCACGGGGCGGGCGTTTCTGAGCACGCGGCTCGGGCCAGGGCCTTCTCGCGAGGCTCCAGATGGTGGCGTTCTTTAGGGACTCCCCGAGGTGCCTGGGGGAGGGCCCCCTGAAGGGGGCGGGAGGATGAGTAGCCGGCGCGGACAGGCGGGGAGCCGCACCGGGAGCCAGGCGTCGGGCGCTGCGCCTCGCGCCTTCTCCTGGGAGTCCCGCCGGTCCCTGGAGCGCCGCCGCCGGGCAGGGTGTGGCTCGGGCCTCTCTGGGGCTTATTCGGGGGCCTGCACTTTTTTGCCTCCTCTGCAGCCTCGCCAGGAGGCCTCCCTGTGTTCTTCTCCTAGCCATGGTACCTGCGTCCTCTTCACCTGCGTCCGCTTCACCTGGTACCAGTCCGTGTCCTTCTTCAAGTGGGCCTGGCCACCGCGGCAGGACCAGGAGAGGAAGGCCAGGTCGTAGCCCTTCTCTGTCCACGTGCTCTGGCGGCACTGCTTCTCGTTCCAGCTGCGCCCGGCCCATGCACGTGACCTGCACGCGGACTCTGCGCTCCCGCTCCTAGAAGCGCTGCAGGTGCATCGGGTGCTGCAGGGCACTGCTCCTTGCTGCACGCCACCTTCTGGTAGTCGTCCTTCTCCAGGTCCACCGGCCTTCCGTGGCTGCAGATCGGGGGCGTGGCACAGCGGGCTTCCAGTTCTTGGCGTCGCCCGCGGCGTTCACGGCGCCAGTGCCCGCGCCTCCTGCGCCCGCCGCGCCCCGGGTGCCCGGCGCGCCCGCCGCCGCCAGGGTCCCCCCGCCCCACCCCCCGCCGCCGCGGCCCCGGCTCCATTTTCCTGCTCGTCCCCGCTGCTGCTGTCGCGCGTGTTTTTGCGGCCGCCTTTGCTGTTTGGGGGGTTGGGCATCTCGCTCGCTCGCGTCCAGGCCCCGGTCAGCGAAGGCGGCTCCCCGCGCCGAGCCCGCGCAGGGAAAGGACGGCTCCTTGGACGCCCGTCTAGCCGCTGGGCCCGCGCCGCGCCGCCCGCTTCCTGGAGCCCGCACGGCCACCGAGGCTCCAGCCCGCGGGCGCCCGGCCGGGAGCGAGCCAGGCCGGGAATTCTTGATAAAGGCCATGCTCACTGGAGTTAAGTGATATCTCATTGCGGTTTTGATTTGCATTTCCCTGATGATTAGCGATGTTGAGCACTTTTTCATGTTTGTTGGTCTTTATTCTGTCTTCTTTTGAGAAGTGTCTGTTCATGTCCTTTGACCTTTTTGATAGGGTTGTTTTTTTCTTGCCGATTTTCGTGAGTTCTAAATAGATTCTAGTTATCAGCCCTTTATAGGATGTGTAGCTTGCAAACATGTTCTCCCGTTCTGTGGGTTGTCTCTTTGCTCTCTTTACAGTTTCTTTGGCTGTGCAGAAGCTTTTTAATTTGATCAGGTCCCATTTGTTTATTTTTGTTGCTGTTGTGATTGCCTTTGGGGTCTTCTTCTTAAATTCTTTGCCTACGCCAATGTGAAGCAGAGTATTTCCAACATTTTCCTCTAGCATTCTAATAGTTTCACACCTAAGTTTCAAGTCTGTTATTCAGCGTGAGTTGATTTTTGTGAGAGGTGAAAGGTGTGGGTCTTGTTACAGTCTTCTGCATGTGGCTATCCAGTTTTCCCAGCACCATTTATTGAATAAGGATTCTTTTCCCCAGTGTGTGTTTTTGTCTGCTTTGTCTAAGATTAGTTGGCTATATGAGGATGGTTTTATTTCTGGGTTCTCTGTTCTGTTCCACTGGTCAATGTCCCTGTTCTTGTGCCAATCCCAAGTTGTTTTAATGACTATAGCCTTGTAGTATAGTTTGAAGTCTGGTAAATTGATACCTCCTATTTTGTTTTTATTGCCTAGGATTGATTTTTATATACGGGGTCTTCTCTGATTCCATGTGAAGGGTAAAATTATTTTTTGTATATCTGTGAAAAATGATGATGGTATTTTGCTAGGGATTGCATTGACTCTGTAGGTCACTTTGGGTAGTATAGACATTTTAAAAATGTTGATTCTTCCAACCCATGAGAATGGTATATTCTTCCCTCTGTTTGCGTCCTCTGCTATTTCCTTCTTCAGTGTTTCATAGTTCTCCCTGTAGAGGTCTTTTACCTCCTTAGTTAACTATATTCCAAGGTACTTTATTTTCTTTGTTGCTATTTTCAAGAGAATTGAGTCTTTGATTTGGTTCTCACTTTTACTGTTGTTGGCGTATATGAATGTCTCTGATTTCTCTGTATTGATTTTGTATCCTGAGACTTTACCAACTTCATTTATCAGATCAAGGAGTCCCTTGGTTGAAT